GGCGGGGGCGGGTGAGAACATGGCTGGCAGCGGCCGCCACCGACAGGGCAATGATGACCGGCAGGCATGTGTGCGCGAAAAGGCCAGACGAGAAGCGGGGCGAGGCGAATGAAACACCGCCAACAACAAGCAACAAGCCACGCACCACTGAGCACCGCGGACTCGGCCTTGGCCGTGCGCGCGGCCACGCGCGACTCCTGATACTCGTCGTTCAGGGCAGCCAGGCGCTCGGCCGACTGGGCATGCGCCACGCTGGCCAGGCGCTCGGCCTCCTGCAGCGCGGCCCGCGTATGCTGCAGCTCGCCCTCCAGACGCTGCACTCGGGTTTGGAGGTTTGGCGCGGCCTGTGCCTCGGCTTGGGTCAGCAGCACGCGCAAGGCGTCCCGTGCGTCGGCGGCCTCGGCCAGCCGGGCCTCCAGCGTCTGCTGCTGATCCCGGTACCGCTCCAGGCTGCTGACCGCTTCGGCCAGGGTGCTCTCAAGCTCGCGCGCTTGCTGGCCGGTCCGGTCGAGGTCCTCCTCGGTCTGGGCCAGCTGCCGGAGCAGGCGCGCCCGCTCCTCCACCAGCTCGGCCGTCGGGGTCGGCCGGAACTCGGCCTGCTCACTCCGCTCGCCCAGCTGCCGCAAGGCCGTCAGCAGGTTCAGATTCTTGGTCTGCAGCTCCTTGATCGTGGCGAAGGTGACAAACTCCCGGTCGATGACGTCCCCGGCGCTGAGGCCGCCGTTGGTGGCGGCCGCCATGGCCGGCGAATCAAGCTCCTCCGACAGGAGGAACTGCACCTGGCGGCTGAGATCGGCCACCTCTGCACGCACCAAAAGGGGAACGAGGGAGGGAGGGTGTGAGCATGGGTGAGCATGGGCAGGAAGGACAACAGGCCAAAGAGGCGACCGAGTGGAGGGGAACAGGGAAAGGGGGGCCACAATGCTCAAAGGGAGGAGCGATAGAGTAGGGAGAGGGCAGGGGGGGGGGGAGAGGACAGGGGGGGAGAGAGGGGGGGAGAAGGGGGAGGGAGATGGGAGAGAGAGAGAGAGAGAGAGAGAGGGAGAGGGAGAGAGACAAAGAAGGGGGAAAACACAAACAACCGACAGAGATACGCACGCTGTCCCAACTGGCGCTTCTCCGCCTCCAGGCGGTCGACATTGACCGAGGCCGAGAGGAAGTTGTCCCGAACGGCGGCCAACTCGGCGGTCAGGTCCTCCACCCGCTTGGCCAGGCCAGTGGCGTGGGCCGCCTGCGCGGCGTAGTGCGCCCGCTCGCTTTGCAGGGCCTTGGCTCGCGGCTCCAGATCCGCCAGGAACTTATCCAGCGTCGATTCCAGATGGGTGCACTTGCTCTGCAGGGTCTTCACCTGCTCCTGGCTTTGCAGGAAGTCCGAGTACTGAGGAGGCGCGTGGGGGGAAAGAAGACAGGAGTCAGGTCAGATTGGAGCGGGGGGGGGGGGGGGGGGGGGGGGGGGGGGGGGGGGGGGGGGGGGGGGGGGGGGGGGGGGGGGGGGGGGAACGGCACAAGGACCCCCCAGAGGCAATGACACATACCAGCCGGGAGACATTGAGGCCGTGTGGCAGGCCGGCGCTCGGGCCGTGCTTGGCCGCTGACTGCTTGAGCACCCAGGCATTGAGGCGCTCCAGCTCACCGGCTGTGGTGTCGAGGGCCTGCTGGAGCTCGGCCGCCTGAGCCGCGCGGGAAGTTGCCTGAATATTTTCAGATAGAGTGCCGAAGCCCAGGAGAGGCCAGAGTCAGTGCCAGGGGGGGGAGAAGGAGGGGGGGAGCCCGAGGGGAATGTAGCGAGTCGGACAAGTGACCAGTGGAAGAAGAGACAGGGGGAAAAACCAGACGCACCTCGCGCGCGCCCTGGTCCACTTGCTCGCGCAGATCATCGATCTCGGCTGCGGCACTGGCCGCCGCCCCTTGGAGATCCTGGTTGACCCCCAGCAGGACGTCGTAGGAGTCACGCAGCCGGGCGACCTCCTGCCGAGCAGCCAGCAGGTCCGACCGGAGGCTTTCCTCATTCAGGACTCCCTGGTGGCGCTCCTGGCGCATCTCAGCTCGGGCCTGCTCTAGCTGCAGCATGTTGGACTGGTCTTGCGCCTCGGCACGCCGGCGCGCGGCCTCGCTGGCAGCCAGGCTATCCTGCATGCCGCGCAGTCGCGTCTGCAAGGAGATGACATTTTCGGTCTAACAACAACGGGGCGCAAACCCGGGCATGCGGAACAAAGTCAGTGCATGCGCTCGCCAAGGCAATGGAGAGAGAGAGAGAGAGAGAGGAAGGGAGGGAGGGAGGGAGAGAGAGAGGGAGAGAGAGAGAGAAAGATAGAGAGACGGAGGCAGAGAGACATGGGAGGCGAAGAAGGAGAAGGACCCAAGGGAGGGGGGGAAAGAAGAAAAGAATGCCAGGCGTTGGGAGGCGTACGGTCGTCTGGCGATAGGTATCGAACTCGGCGGTGCGCTTGGCCAGCTCCTCCGACAGCCAGGACGCCTGGCGCTCAGCCGCGGCGCAGCGCCGCTCCGAACGCCGCGACTCATGCAGCAGTCGCGAGGTTTCCGCCTCGGACTTCAGGTGCTGTGACATTAGCTCCGCCAGCTCAGACCGGGTGCTGGCCAAGGCCGCGGCCGATGACGACTGCGCGCTTCGCAGAGACTCCAGCTCCTCTACGTTGACGGCGGCGCAATGGGGGGGGGGG